CCGCCGAAGAAGTTGCGTGCAACCTCCAAAGAAACATTGTAACAGCTCAGATTAGGGGGCTCGACTCGGGGCAGGTTACAACATGAAGTTGCGACTGTAATTTATGATACGAAGGCATTGCGAGCGCGATCCAAACAAGTGCCTTGGGCGTGTGCTTGCCAGCCTCAGCCATAGAACGAAGGCCTTGCTAAGTCTGCCTGAACCGCAACGAAAAGAGGTAAAACTTTAGAACCTTCGGAGCAGCAGGAAAAACTGCCTGACTGCCACACTGAAAAGTTTGGCGCAGATCATGTATCTTGTCTCGGTCCCAGGCGTTACGCTTGGCTGCCTTGGCAGCAATGCCCGTCTGTCAGGGAAATATGGTCTGCATCGGGCAAGGGCCCCACAACTGCAGCCACCACAGCACCAGCAGCTACGCTGGCCACTGCAGAGGATGGAACCTCGATGTTCCCATCTGCACTCAGTTCAGCTTGATCTCAACATCTATGGCAGGCACAGAGCTCTGGAACGTCTTCGCACGTTGTTCCGTTTGCAACCTAGCAGGTTTCGGCGCATTTATTCCTGGGTGTGATGGTGGCTCCGGGGAGAACTAAGGCAGCAGCTGCGGCTCGACCAGCCGCGAATGGCTTGCACCAGGTGCAACAAAACTGGGGGCCTTAATTCCGTGAAGGCCGTTTATTTCAACCTGCATCTATGTTCTCAGGTCCTCACTGCAAGCAGTGCTCCTGCCGACAAGGCAGCACCTCAAACATGAATGTTAAGAACTACGTGGGCGCGGGTATTGTGGAAAAGATCACAGAGATGGATGACGTGGGGGTAGCTCTCGTCTGACTACTGCCAAGAACAACGGTAGTGGTAGTAGTGGCAGTAGCAGTAGCAGTAGGTCGCAATAGTTGTGCTAGTCGTCGGCGGCGCAGGAATATCTTTCAGTTGTAGCGACAGTATCAATAATAGAAGTAATGGTAAGGGTAATGGTAGTCGTCCTGTCGTATTAGTAACAGCAGCAGCAGCACAGCAAAGAGGAGACAGCAGGAGGAAATCTCATCACCGATTACGTCCATCTGCTTCTTGATGACTGAATAGAGCTTTTGCAGCTGCCCGACTTCATAGGATGCTTTTGGCCGAGAATGTGAGGATGTTGCATGCCCAACATTAAAGAGCAGTCATAATCTCTGCAGAAAATACATTTGCACAGTTTTGGCAAGATGCTTAAAAAACATTGCATTCCTGTGGTACCCCTTTGTAGCTTCACGGCATCAGGCACGTCTGGGCATATACATCGCAGACCAAGACCGCAGCCGCAAGCAATACGTCGTCCGTTGGAGGCCATCTTTCGGGCGAAAGGAAAACTGCCTCAGAGCAAGCGTGCCATGTGCACGACATAGTGTCGCAAATGTTGGTCCCCTTCCAGCAGTCCTGATGGCGAGGATCCTTTTATGGTCACCTATGGAAACTTTGGGTTTCAGCCAGAGTCATCTGATTTCCGGGAGTCACCGCAGACAATTGCGTGCAAAACAGCTCCTTGAATGATGATACTGAGGCACTGTGGACACCTATTTCAAATTGCAAACCAAGCAGCACAACAGGCTCCGGCTGCTCTAGTTCCAGAGTTGGAGTCTGGGCCAAAACTGAAAACTGCCAGCGGTAGCTGGGATATTTGTGCCCTTGAAGTGGACATGTTGCGCGCCTTCAACTTCAAAGGGCTCCTGCAAGAATTGCCTCCACCGTCTTCATGAATATCTTTCAGATGCTGTCTGGAATGCCTATTCAACTCCTCCAGCATGTTATCCCCCAGCACTCCAGCTAGTTGCAGCGCTCTGCTCATCTGCTTGATAATCTATGACGAGGAAGTGCAAACGTGGAATGACACGCAGACTTTGCCTGCAAGGCCAAAAAACTTGCCCACCCCTCAAGGGTCTCTGAAATACACAAGACTGCGTGTAACTCACCTGCAAGCAAACAGCACGGATCCCTCTTTTGCGCGGACGCTCTCGAATCTGCGCCTGAAATAACATGTCTGAAGGACACGCTAAAGATTTTCTGAAGAATCTCAAGATTCTCAAGGAGCCTAGAGGCATCCGCGAAGCTTGAGCAAAGCAAAACTGTTAGAAAGATTCTGGCTTCTGCCAGATCTCTGAAGGAGTGCACAACCACTTCAACTTCATGATTTCGCCTTGTGTGTTGTCCGCCTAGTACGGGCTTGTGAGACTGCATATCATCCAAATGAATATTCAGCTCTTTGAGCTCATCCAACTGTTGAAGCCATGAAGATTCTTCGGGAACCGCCGTCCTGCAAGTGATTTCAGAACTCTGATCAGATGCTGGATTATGTCATGCGTGGCTGACCATTCACATCACATGTGCCAGTGCTGAGCCTGCCGCTTGCACGCTTAGGCCCCAAACCTGGGCAGGCCATGCGGAAGGACGCACGCGAAGTTACCCATGACCAACACCCAAGGTGCAGGCTGCTGGATCGCGTCCTCACAGGTGCTGATGACCAGACAAACATATCATACTGCCACCTTGCAGCACACTGTGCTCTGAAACTCTGGAAAACTTACAGGTCTACAGTATTGGGAAGGGCGGTGTGGGCGTCCTTGCCAGTCAACAGGTCGGCGGAGATGATTCCAAGCGCAGCAAACCTCATCAAACATGACCCGCCCCGCATAGCTTTCCCCCTGCCCATTCCCCTTCCCATAGCTCGTTTCAGCATGCAGCTTCTTGCAGCTCCAAGCGCGCAGAGCGCAGAGAAACAAGGTTAAAAGTCTGCTCTGAAAATCCATGCTAGTCTGGAAAATGCGGGCCTGACAGAAGCCCGCAAGTCTGCAAAACCCCTGCCGGCACCCATTGCCCACTGGCAGGCTAAACTCGTGAGGGCTGACACCTGTCATGAAACGCAACCATGCAGCACTTCGACAATATCTGCGTCATCGCGTGACCACGGAAGATGCAAGAGCCTGCTGTAAAACGACCATCTAAGGCCGAGACATGGCAAAGCGTCCGTTGTTGATCTCCTGGCAAGGGCCCACTTCCCTGAACTCCTCCGCACCATTTGTGGCAATTTGCGACCAGCCTTGGCGCGCATGTCCTCGTTGTACTGGCCAAGGCCTCAAACCAGCTCGCGTCTGTCTTTCTCCCCCCTATGCAGGGACCCAAGAACTGAA